TCAAAAGATTTGTTAAATCATTAAATCCTAGCTATGTTCTCCCCACTAAAAAGGTCATAAAAGCAGTGAAAATTTAGTTTTTACAGAATAAAATGTGAACAGGCAGGACTGAGGCTCAGTGTGTAGCTGTCCATACCTCAACGTTACAAAAGCACAACTACTGTCCACACCCCAACCACACCTCACCTCACAGTAAATGATCATTTCCATTTTAAGCATGTCCAAATAATCATTTTCCATACTGCCACCATAAATATACACAGTATACTGCATCACTACAATATACATGTTTTACACACTCCTTTTGTTGTTGACATTTACAGGCTGTGTGCAAAATGCCACACTCTTCAAATTCATGCCAGCTATTATTTTTACGTCCAGTAGGTGTCCTGCTAGAGCACATGAAGCTTCATGAAGCTTCGCGTTGGGGTGAACCAATTGGATGAAACGCTTCAGTGCTTCATGGGGCTTCATCTGCCCATCACTAGGAGACACACAGGGCTTAAATACACACACCAGTAATCAGGGGATGAGAGACAGGAGGGCAACACAGCTGGGAGGGATCTGGGCTGACGGGACAGGGGAAACGTAAACTGATCACACTCACATACGACACGGACCTTCACAATAAAACAGGAAACTCAGACACATGGAACCAGACAAGACATTGAACTAAACAGACAGATTCACAAGCAGATGGGGAGACACCAAAGACAGACAGATACAGACGCAGACTCAGAGGCAGATCGAAAATAACACAGAACTTAAACAATCATCATCTAGAAAATGATAACAAACTAAAAGCGCTGGGTCACCGACCCAGGACCATGACAGTAGGGAGGGGGCAACACCCCACCCTCCTTGACCGAGGCCCAAAGAGGCCAAAGGACAGCAAGCCTCAGACCAGGAATAGAAGTGGGAGTGAATCTGCTCCACCAGTAATCAGAGCTCTGACCCCGAACTCACACACACGCACGCGCACACACACTCACTTTTGTAACGTTACTGTTACATTCTTATGCTTTTTTAAAATTCTTTCTAAATGTAAACAAAATCAAAGCTTTGTGATTATCAGCTGTGACTCTGTGACCGGGGAGGGGATCGAATTCCCAGCCTGAATTCTTCTGGCGGTGACTGGGCGTGGCTGCTTCACGTGTTTGACCTCAGAAATAGATTCTCACTCCAGAAACTTCCACGAGATGAGAAATGAGAGGGCCTGCAGTTGTTGCAGTGGGACTGAAGCAGTGGGGAAGAGGAGAAACAGGAGTTGGGTGAACCAAATAGTTGCTGGGTAGGTTTGAAATAACAGACAGGAGGAGGCAGCGGTTTGTTGTAGCGTCTGTGCAGAGTGAGTCGGTCTGTTCCCAGAAGACACACAAGGTAACGTATAAGAACTGACACTATTCTGTGGAAGCGGTCTAACTGATAATGGTTTATGTAATCTGCATGATTATGGAGTGAAAGACAGACAGGACTGAAGCGCTCCTGTCTGTCTGTTGTTTTCTTATTTCCCCTCCCTGCTGAACCTTATTCAGGAAGTAACCTGTTACATCAGCTGTGAAATCCATCAGTCACAGCAGTTTTAGTTGTGTTACTGTGAGAGTCGAGTAGAATGTAGTAACCCTCAAGTTACCAAACTCATATTTATAAATGCACATATTTTATATGATAGAAAGTTTAATGCCAGTAATTGCTGCTTTTATATATTTTTTCAAATCCAAAAACAAGTTAAAAATGTACAAACAGTTATTAAAACTTACTTCTTAAAAAACTAAATGAATTTGTTCAGAACATTTTCATTCAGAAAACTGATGCTCACAGCTGCTTATAGATAAAAACGTTCACGAAAAAACGTGATTCTGTCCTTCGGTTCTGATGCTGAGCTGTTCTACATCTGAGGTTACGAAGCCTCAAAAATGGCAGATATGTTTGGACTCCCGAGCTCTTGAGCCTAAACTCGGGAGTCCGTAACTCAGAAAATATTCCTAACAGGAATCTTGCTAATAAACGAAACGTATTATTGTGATGTTTATTAATGAATTTAACATTTTACCTACTGTGAAGAAAACAAACATTTTCTTTGCCCAATTTCGCAGTTTTTATTCTTCTGCTGTAGATATAATTTATATGCATTTGGCCCCCACAAGCGGGCCCTCTGCTCTGAGGGACTGAGTGAGGAGAGGTTGTCTGGGTTTCCTGGTGCTTCATCTCTGTCTCCTCCTACAGGAAGATGATCGACAGAGTCCTGCTGCTCATCATCCTCCTGCCCTGTGTCTGTGGTTGGTCTGAACCTTCTCTTCATCATCCATCATTTACAGAACCTCACTCACTGATTCGACTGCTTTAAGCTTTTTTCTGTTCTCAGCGTGGGCTCCTCTGGTTGTGTCTCCTCCACAGGATCGCTGATCGTGACGGTGTCACAGAGCTTCCATCAGGCGGAGGAGAACGACAGCATCACTCTGGAGTGGAACTTCACCACCAGAACGAACAGCTCGCCCAGTCTGCTTTCTGTCTTCTGTGACCTGATAGCCGATCAGGAGCTCTCAGTCCTGTATCGTGTGCAGAATGGCGTCGAGGTCTCAGAGCTTCAGGATAAACGGTTTGCAGGGCGAGTCTGGAGCGACAGCGATGCCCTCGCAGAAGGACGAATCGCGCTTCAGCTGTCCGGCCTGACGACTCACGACTCAGGTCTGTATGTGTGCAAAGTGAGCACGGATCACGGCTACGGCTCTGACAGCTGCCGGCTCAACGTCACCGGTAAATCTGTTCGGTCAAACCTTTCAAACATGTTTAACAATCCAGCGTCTTTAAAATCAAATGTGTTTCTTAATGGAGTTTTAAAATGACCATGAATGACATGCTGGGTCTTTCTACAGCAGCAGGAGACCTGACCCAACCTGAGACGTCAACCGCAGGACTGGTCGGCATCTTCGTGGGAATAGCTTTGATGGGAACGACGGTGCTGGTTCTGTTCTGCTATCTGTTCATTCACTCTCTGCCTAAAGAGCAGGATTACGACTCAGAGTCCAGTTACGAAGCTGAGAAAACTTTCAGTGCGTCAGACGGATCACTTTAAAATGAGTCCGTTTGGTTTCTCGGTGCAGGGAGGATGTGTGCACGGGCGTGCTTATGGCTGCCCCGGCGTCAGGAGCCATTTCCGTAGACGAACCTCACCCCTCATTAGCTCGTGAAGGCTGCCGTTGGTCAGAAAATAAAGCCAAACAGATAAAAACTATTTTGGATCAAACTTATTCAGCTGTGATGCAAACCTGATGCAGAGGAGAAAGGAAAGGGAGACATTTCTCACTCGTCTCACAGCAGATTGCATGAAAATAGCAGCAACTTCAATGAAGACAGCAAAAGGTGAAAACGTGCAGCTCAGTGCTTCCTCATATGAAATATAAGAAAAGCTGTTTATAAACAGGCAAAAATAGAACATGTGAAACAGGTTTAGTGGAAAAAGATTAGCAGAGGCAGAAATGGTCATACACAGGCATGAATGGTTGACAGTAGCGTCATTTATTTTGCTGGAATAACTCAAACAGGTCAGGTCAGTAGCAGTGTGCCCATTTCACCAGCAGATGGCAGTGCTTACATTACACGTGGAGCTCTTATCATTTTTGGTCATTTTCATAACCTTTAACAGCTTTAATATGAAATTTACATTTCATGAAACTAAAAAGAAACAGTGGATAAAAAAGACAGTTATTTTTAACCTGTTTCACTGACAGTTCATTTACAGTTTCAGCTCAGTCAGGATGTTTTGCACGAGCAGTGATGGAGGACGGTGTACCTGTGAGGGAGGTTTATCCAGCTCATGTTTATGGTCGGACGAACACAGAGGAGATTTCTTAGCCTTGTAGATCCATAAAAGAGATTATTATCAGTAGATCTCCACAGATTTTGACAAATGCTTCAAACGACGGATTCCAAGATAATTTCAAAATAATTCTCTTCGCTGCCTTTTAAAACTTCATTATCCTCACAGCTCTCACAGTGATTACACAGACTCTGCTCTGCCGTACTGCTTGCTGAAAAAGCAGTTCAGACACGTGTGTGTACGTGTTTAGACATCTTTGTGAGGACAGAAAGTTTGCCATGCCACTATACTTGTGGGGACCAACAGTCACTCCCCATGAGTTTACAGACATGTTTGAGGCTCAAAGTGTGGTTTTAGTGTCAGGGTCACAGTTAGGCTATGGTTAGGTTTAGGCTCAGCGTTAGTTCATGTTTGATGGTTTGGTTAAGCTGCAAGAGAAAACATTATTTCAATTAATGTCCTCACTACGATGTGAAAACGAGTGTGTGTGTGTGTGTGTGTGTGTGCATATATTGTGACTTCCAGTCATCAGCTGCAGTGCTGAAAGTATAAAAGGCAAAAGGTTCTTTTATAAACAATAAACTAGATTTTTTAAATTGTCCTCACATCTCTGAAGTGATTTTTTTTACAGTGGCCTGAAAATGGAGGTGCAGTTCCTCTAATGGCCACTCGAGGTTGAATCCAGAAGTGAGTCAGTCCCCACAGACGTCCATGTTAAAACGTTCATCAGAAATAAACATGTTTACAGCCTGCCACAAAAAAGTACAACTGTACATCTCTTTATGTTCTTTACCCTCTGTGTAACTCTTTATTGACTCAAGGTTCGACATAGGCGGGAGTAGCAGCTGGCAGTCTGCTGAGGCCTCACCTCACCAGACCTCTGCAAAGGATTTGGCTCCAAAAATAAAGACATTTGCAGTCAAAATAGAATAGAATAGAATAGAATGTCTTTATTGTCATTGTCACAGGTACAATGAAATTGAAAGTGGTCTCTGATCCATGCATCATCCAAAAAATTAAAATGCTTCAAATGTGGACGTTGCTATGGCCATGCCGTCTTTTATTTACAGTCAATGTTTTTTCCAACTTTCATTGTGTTGCTGCAGTTAATTCTTTTCTTTTTAATCTACAGTGCTTAAACTGCAGTAAGCAGTTCAGAGTGTTCAAAAATGTGCAATCATATTTCTGAGCACATCTCTCAGCTCTTGAATCAAACGGTGACCTTTCCTCTGCACACACCGTCAGGCCCAGTGAATGTGATGTAAATTAAAAGTCCTTGTGACAGAGAGGGAGAGGTCGAAGCTATTGACCAGTTTGACCTCCTCCGGCCTCTCGTGGTCCCTGCTGATCAGTTAATGTAGCCTCCCTCTCACAGCAGGGTGGACACAACCGGTCAAATCGACGATGTGCGTCTTTCTGCGAGACGACGGCAGCATGAAAGCGCCACTGAAACATCCACACATTCAGTCCACGGCGTCTCCAGGTCCCGCTGTGCTGTTGCTGGTTTCAGAGGACAGCTGAGACGAAAGCCAGAGCACCAACTGTCTTCACCGAGCTGAAGAAAGAGCAACACAGATGAAAATAGAACTCATCGAATATATGGAAACAGCGAGGAGCTGAAAGATGTCATGTGATGAATTTGTTCAAAAAGAAATACATTAATTATGATCACGTTCAAGATGTTATCAAGGAAATGACTTCTTTTAATAAGTAGAAAAATATATGAATAAGACAGAATGAAGAACTCAGAGGGATTTAATGTTTAATGTTCAATAGGCCACAATTATTTTCTTTTTCTTATTCCATGGCTGGTTTTGATGAGTTAGCCTGGAATATAAAATCAAGCAGCAACCGTCAGAGCTTAAAATGCTGTGGAAAACCAAAACCTGCAGTTCCCTCGATGACCACTGGAGGCTGGCTCCTACAGTGAGGCAGTTTCTGCTCCTCCTATGAGCTGTGTGACGTATTCACACATTAATGGACGCACTGGGGGCCATTTTTTATATCTTGCTCAAGGACACGTCAACAGTAATAGCACACATGAGGGAAAACATGACATTTTAATTAATTTAATAAAAGACAAATTCAGCATTAACTCTGCAACAAATCTGCTCTGTTATGCTGCAGAGAACATTTTGGATTTTTTACAATCTGAAAAAAATGTTTTTAAACTTTTGCTTGTGTTGCTGTTTTTTTTTTAACCTGTCCATGAAAATGTTGGTTTAACTGCTCTGAAACCGACTGAAATACGTGTTCAAAACATTTTTATTGAATAAACAGGAGGAGCTGGCCTCAGCGAGCCACTTCCTAAAACTGAATAAAAGTGTGTTCAGTTATTTTAGAACCACATGGTGACATTCAGCTCTCTCTGTGCTCAGGTGTGATAGAGCATCAATCAGTGCGGTCGCTGTTTGATCACACACTCATTAACCTGCAGGTTAAACCATCGGCAGGCTGGGTGTTCTGTCCAGCAGGATAATGAACTCTTTCATCATCAGAAAGGCTGCTGCAGCACGCACATCTGCATGTTTTTGATCATAATGGAAAATCATGCTCTGTGTGAAAAACTAAGAATATTTTACATGAAAAATATTAAATATGCTCCAGGATGACCAACAGTGAATATGCCCAAGTCTGGTATCAACCAGCATCTGTTAAAAACACATCAGCACAACATATGACACGGCTCTGCAGTGTAGGCCTCGCACTGTGAACGTCACGTGGATTCATCCATAAGGTTTAATATGATGTTGAGCCTTTGCAGCTATAACAGCTTCAGCTCTTCTGAGCTTCAGCTTTAGGAGTTTTATGGGAATTTCCACCATTCCTCCAGAAGAACAGTTGTGAGGTCAGACCTGATGCTGGACAAGAAGGCGTGGCCTGTCTCCACTGCTCTACACCTCTTCACCTGAAGCTTTGCACTTGGTGATGTAAAGCTTGGATGCAGCTGCTCAGCGATGGAAACCCGCTCCATGAAGCTCTCTATGCGCTGTTCTCCAGCTAATCTGACAGTCACATGAAGTTTGGAGGTCTGTGGTGACTGACTGCAGGAAGCCGGCGACCTCTGCACACTCTGTGTCTCAGCATCTGCTCACCCTGCTCTGTGATTTGACTTTGCCACTGAGTTGCTGTTGGTCCCAATTAGTCTCACAGTGTTATTATACTGAATGAATTCTAAAACCACAGGTGTCTGTGGAATATTTAGTATTGTGGAAATTTCATGACTGGGCATCCTGTGACAGTTCCACGCTGAGATACTCTGAACTCCTCACCAGTGTTGGTCAAGTTACTTGAAAAAAGTAATCAGTAACTAATTACTGATAACTTCCCCCAAAAAGTAATCCCGTTACTTTACTGATTACTTATTTTCAAAAGTAATTCATTACTTAGTTACTTAGTTACTTTTTAAAAACACGATTTACAACCTGAACAGGTGATAAAGTGATAGATCTTTCAGCCCAATTCTACTTTTTCTGCATAATCATCATACAAAATGTAATCAAATGGAAAAGTCTCTTTTTAAAACTTGTTTTATTAGTTTTAATCTTTTAACTTTATGCATCAAGCAAAAAATAAATTATCTGCAACATTCACTGACTGGAAGAAATTAGTTTTACATTTAAACCTATTTTCTGCACATTCCAGCACATAAAATAAAATATTTTTTGTGTTTACACTCAGTCTTTCAAATAGATGCAAGTAAAACACAGCAGGAAATAAATAAAGTCAAAGACTCAGCGGTCCTGTTGCTCTATTTTCACCTGTAAAGCAGGAGTGGGGCAGGCGGAGGTTTACCCTGGTGCAGGTGTGCCGCGGTCAGTGGAAGAATCCGCGAGTTTCTCTGTGAGTTTCCCATTACGTCGTAGCTACTCGGTGCTTGTTGGAAGTTTAGGGGTTTTTTCGCTGTAAAAAGAAGTTTTCTTCCCACGCACAGCGGACACTAATGTTTTTGTCACTTTTTATGGAATCAAACTCAAAGTAAGGTCAGTACTTCCACGCTTTAAACGCTGCACGCTCATACTCTCTCTGCACTCGATATGTGATGCATTGTTGATCTGCACACAGCTGTTGTCACCAACGTCGCACTCGCTTACGTCACTGTCGTGAGACATTTTCGCAAACAAATCACGGTTTTAGTAACGCAGTAACGCAGCGTTCCTACGGGAAAGTAACAGTAATCTAATTACCGTTTTGCAATAGTAATCCCTTACTTTACTCATTACTTGGAAAAAAGTAATCAGATTACAGTAACGCTTTACGCGTTACTGCCCATCTCTGCTCCTCACAGCGTCGCATTCTTTCACATATGTTTGTAGAAGCCGTCTGCGCTGGATTTGAAACACCTGTGGGAGTGACGGGAACACCTGATTTCAATGATTTGAATGGTTGAGTGAATACTTTTGGAAGCAAATGCAAAAATGAAGACCGAGCAAATAAAAAAAGTAATCCACAGATAGAACCTTGAAGTCCTCACAGCAGGTCAGACAGAGTTATATTCTCAGTGCATCCTCTGACTTTCTCCTCATTATTTCACTGCATGGTTTTTATTTAGAAAGCCTTTTCTTTAGGATTGTTCCCGTTAACACGTCATTTACTCTGAGTCCATTCCTGTGTTGGTACTAAAACCCCCTCTCTGTGCTCCCCGTGACCTCCCTTTAATATAGATCTCAGATACCAGGAGGACAATTAACAAGATTTACTCCTTCAGCCTTAAAGCTCATCGACTCGCTCTCTAAAATTCATTATGAGCTCACAGAGAATAGATTTTTCCCCCTCTCGACCTGAATAGAGCGATCACACCTCTTTGAAAAACACCCCATTTGTTTCCTTCTGAGTGCAGAGCTGATCGATTTTATCAGGAACAAAATCCATCAGGACCGAAGTGTTTGCAGCCTGGCATCATGACGTGTCACATCGCCAACACAACGAGTCACTTTGTGCAGAATCACAACTCGCTTTTTGGTTTCCGTGTGAGAAAAGTCTAACCTGAACATTGTCCACGTAACACAGAAAACAGACAAAAAAGTGCAATTTTCACCAAAACTATAATTACTGATAAATAAAAATAACCCTCAGTTCTGATGCGTTAAGAGAACGAAGCTCCATATTTGTGTGACTCGGTCTGCTTGCATGCAGCTAACACACTAACACTAAACCCGAGTTCAGAGTTAAAGAAGTGTGCAGCACATTTAAATGTAGGAAACAAACATTGCGCCTCAGCTGGGAGAGAAAAATTCATTTACTTTTGTTTTCATTAATATTTCACTTTATCTTTTGTTTTTGAATAACTGAAATAATCCACGGGTATTTTATTTTGAAAGTCAATCCCACAGATTAATTGAACTGATTAAAAGGTGAGCATATAAGAGAAATCTGATTGAATCTTTATTGAAAAAGGTGAACTATAACTGGATAAATAAAATAAATAAAATGACAGTGTGGGGAGACATGAAGGCCTCCCGTTCTGCGTCTGCGTTTCCATTATTTTTCTCATTCCTTCCTTCTTTGCTCCTTTCCTTTTTCCAGCCCATAATCACTTCATCTCCTCCCTCTAACCCCCTCTTCACCGAGATCCCTGTCAAATGATTTCAACCATCTCCTCTCCTCTTA